CTGTCTGGCTGTCAGTCATGCTGGTGTAGTAGGATGGTCATCTGGCTTGTCCCTTTCTGGTGCATTAATTCATTGGCAGTCCCAAATGCCAGAGGCATCAAGACCAAGAGAGGAGTGAAAACTTTTTTTGGGCTGGTGTGTCTTAAAACTCAATAAAGACCTTCCATGGGAGTTGAGCAGCCTGCCTCGGCCACATCAGATGGGCAGCCTGCCTCTGCTAGGGAAAAGTGGCATGAGGGAGAAGCATTGCAAACCCCTAGTGCAGAAGTCCTATACTGGTGCCAGACTGGTTTGTGCTGATTTATTCCCCACTCCCAGGTGCAAGCCTGACCTTTTTCTCATACAGTAAGTCTGCACTGATAATTCGCCCCGTGGTGATGTCTTCAGTTTAACTAAAGTGGTGAAGCAAACTCTACCCCAGGGCTGTAGTCAGCAGCTGGAGGCAGGGGTCCTGCTCCTGGCAGCAGGAAGACCTGGCATCCCTGGGCAGGGTCATTGATCCTGCTGTCTTTTTACACCTCCCGTCTTCCTTTCTATCCCTCTTAAGTAATTCTGGCCTTGCCTCATCCCCTCTCTGCTTCCACTGAAGTGGCCTCCCTTTAGGCTGGAGCTTTCCGGTGTCTCCAAGCACCTGCAGTGCAAAGAAGAAATTCAAAGAGAGAAGACGTCTTTTTATTTTGTCCTCTTTGGTGAACATAAGCTTGATTGACAAGTACCCTCTTAGCACTGGCATCTGGGAGTTCCCAGGCTTGAGTGTTAATGGATTTTTGCATTAGCACTGTGCGCCTGAATCCCAGCTCCTGCAGCTGCCGAGCTACTGTGGTCCCTGAGGTGATGCTGCTGCCCAGCAGACTCCTCTGCCTTTCGTTGCAGGAGATAATAACTTTCCTCCTTTTATCCAGTGCACTGTAATAGGTCTCTAGCTGTACCTGCTCATCCCAGTCAAAGCAGGATTGTACCCAGCGGTATGTGTGTCTCTTGTTTTGTCCAGTCTCTTTTAATTAAGCCAAGCAAGAGCAGCTTCTACTATTTATCTGCTTAAGCTTTTTTCACAGTCTGATGGGCCTCACTGTGTCAGAGGGTTTTACCAATGTGTTAATCCCGCTAATCACTTGTCTGCTTTCTCCCAAGGAAAGTCCTTTGTTTCTCAGTTTAATGTACTCTCCTTCCTCCTCCCTTCGCAGAGCTTGATGGCAGTCGGCGAGTTCAAGATGAAAGTGGACCAAGAGAAAGTCATCAAGTGTTTGGAGCTGTTGAATTTCCTCCTCAAAACTGCCAGCCAGCAGGTGAGCCTCTGGTCACTGGTCCTGGCTGGGGTCAGTCTGTCTATCCCACATGCCAGTCTGTTTTGGCAGCATCAGTGAACTGCTGTCCTGTGGGCAGGCTCCAAGAAAGCGTGCATTTTAAAGGGTTGCACTGATGTTTTAACCATCCAACTCGTACTGAATTCAGCATGAGGGCTATTGCTGTCCCTGCTTGCACCTGTTCAACAAGTCCCCCCGGCAGGACTTTGTAGCTGGGTTTGATCTGAAAAGCCCTGAGATCCAAAATAGTACTGATGCTCGCAGTACCTCTCCAAGCATTCTTCAGGGAGGTCAGAGGCAGTGTGGCCCACTGGATAGAGTATCTTCTCAAGTCAGCAGCAAAGGAGCATCTGGAGGAGCCAGGGTGTCAATGAAAGAATTGGAAACCAGGGTCAGCCTCACTGGTGCCAGTGACTTTTTCTGCTGCTGTAGGGTCTTTATGCCAGAGCTACGGATGGGAGCAGCTATGCTGGGGGCTGAGTTTCCAGTGTCAGCAACCCCTGCCTTAGAGAGAAATGCCCTTGTTCAGAGGAGCTGGGTGGGGTGCGGGTGTTGCCTTCTGGGTGAGGGAATATCCCTGAGATGGGTGCAGTGCTGCTGTAAATGTTGTTTGGATTCAGTACCTCGTATGATGCAGCCCTCGGTTGTTCCCTTTTGTCTTGCAGACGCTGCACGTGGAGCTGACAGAGGTGCCTGGGGCACTGCAAGCTCTAAGCCAGCAGGAAGGGTTTGGGAAGTCTGTGCGCCTTGACAGTATCTACTGGAACGTCATGAAGCTGCTGGGATTTACGTACGTATGCTCAGCTGCTTGAGCTCTCCACGGTGTGTGAGATGCAGGCTTTCCATGCTCCCCTTCTCTCTCAAAGCGTGGGGCTAGGCTTAGTTAGTTCTGCACCCCTCACCTGGGCTTTGGCACCCACTTAGGATGAAGGCCTAGCACATGGTTCATGGTCAAGACCTACCCGGCTAACTGGTGGGCTGCATTTACCCTGTACCCAAGGACAGGAAGAAATACCATGTTCCCAGAAATCTGTGCATCTATCTTGTAAACCAGCCTTAAATTTTTTTTCCCTGTTCCTGCTGGTGGCACTGAATTATTTACATTGCGCAGTGGATGTCTGTGGTGCTTTGCAGACCGGTAACCACTGCCCTTGCTCCCGGATGCCTGTCATCTAGGTTACAGTTTCTTGATGGCAGCCAGAGGGCCTGGAGGTGGTGCTGACTGACACACGCAGCTCTTTTGTACACTATTTGTGGCCATGGAGTTCAGGGCTTAAAGGACTAACCCAAAGCCCACTGAAGCCCTAGGATTAGCCCCTAAAAGCAGATTGTGACCTGATAAAGGAGCAAAGGAGTCTCCAGCAGAGCATCCTAATCCAGAGCAGGATCTTTATCCACAGCTGGAATCATTGCAAAGCATTTCCTTTCTACAGTTCCTTAATCAAACTTACAGGCTTAGCTGCCCTATGGCCACAGGAAGAGAGGAGTGGTGGAGTCACGATACTAGCCAGACTGAGGCCTCTTGTTCGATGTGGAATCCCGAGAACAGAGTGGCATCCAGCGAGGTTAACGAAGTGGGAGGTCTAATACCTGTACTTGCTCCCCCTAAAAAGAAGAGTGACCACGTGTTCCGGTTTGGCTGGGACACTAGGATTCTGTAATCTGGTCCTGGCCGGTTGGTCAAAAGCCCCAGGCTGGAGTCTGGTGGGAAAGCAGAGTGGCAAGGTGCGCCAGGCAGGCGGGTGGGCATGCAGGCACTGCTGCTTCTGTGCGGGAGCCAGGACATGCCAGGTGTGGCGGGTTGGCACCTGCTCCGGTCTACCCAACTTGCTCCTGCACAGCAGCAGCGGTGCTTTCCTGCCTGGCACACCGCTCCACTCTGCCTCCCCGCTGGACTGTGCCCTGAGACTTGACCAACCGGCTCGGACCGAGCTACAAAATCCTAGTGTGCCCTGGCCAAACCAGGAGGGATGGTCACCCTACTTAACAGATATGCTTGTCCGTTGGCTTGATTCAATAAATTAATGTGGAAGGGTCTCATTAATGTAGCAAGTAACAAAGAGTGAACACTGCTGCCTGATGAACTTGTTTCTGTCTGCAGCCCTTCTCGTCTGCATTGTTCCTGGATTGCTTTAGCTGGCTCCAGGGGCCCAGACTTCCGTCTTGTGGGTGTGTATGTGAGAGCATTGCCGCCTGCTTGCAGCTCGTTGGAGTGGTGCATTTCAGGCCCTGTCTCTCTTGGATGGAGTCGTTGATAGGCAGGTGTTAGCACTGGGCTCTGGAGACAACCCTCCTCCTCGGCGAAGGCTGTAGCTCTCCAGCAGGGCTCCACAGACTAAAAGCCTGCCAGGAGCCAAGGCAATTACAGCCTGGATCTTCTTCAGACTCCTTGCTCTGTGCCTTCCTTTGGAGGGAGAGATACACATGAGCTGCTTTCAGTGCTGTAACCCAGCTGCTGTGGCAGGCAGATGGACCTGGATTAATTGTTTAGCTGATGGAGCCTTTTTCCAGAGACCAGTGCGTGATGGGGCTAGGCTTGCATACAGAGAGAGGCTGCCTAGAGGGGCAGAGCACAGCAGGAGGACACAGAGTAGGAGCAGACCTAGAGCACTGACAGCACAGCAAATGCTGCTCGGACTCTCCTCCCTTCCGGCAAAGGGCACCCAGTGAGATTAAGGAGCAGCAAACCCCAGGCAGAAATGTGGCGCCACATGGAGTCTTGTTAGGCTGGGTGACTTGTGGCTTTACAGGGAACGAGCTGGGGGACTGGTGGACACAAACACGGCACCAGAGGGTTCACAGCACTGACATTGGGGTTGCCTGCCTTGGAACCTGTTTGTTACCTGGCCGGGTCTGATAAAGTGAGGCCCTAAGTTCAAATAAAGTGACTAACTATAGCCAATGCGCCCCGTCCCTGTGGTGTACTGCATGTCCCATGCTGGCCCTATGATTCCCCTTCCCCATACAGGCCAGTGCTGCCCACCGCAGATGCACAGCCAGGGCTCGTGCTCCCTCAGTTGCTGAACTGCGCCATAACCTGCGTTGCTTTTGATTTGCAGGCGACCCAAACGAAAGAAAGCAGCACCCCAGTCCAAGCAGCCCCCAGGAGTGGAGCCCCTCAAGCGGAAGAAGAAAGGCTTTCTGCCGGCCACCAAGAAACGCAAGAACCGCAAACAGGCCCTGGAGCAGCCCCAAGAGAACGAGGGGATGGAGACAAATGTTGAGGTCGCTGCAGAGGGCACTGAGGCTCCAGCCATGGGGAGAAAGAAGAAGAAGAAGAACAGGAAGAGGAAATGGCAAGTAGAAAGCAAAGGCAAGCAGGGCCCTCCCACAAAGAAGGCCAAAGGCAGCGCTGGCACAGAGACTCAGGGGGAGCCGGGTAAAGTCAAGTGGAAAAAGAAAGCCAGCAGGATGCCGGCCCCGTTGGCCTGAGGGACTCCATGGACTAGCTCCGCACTGGCAAGGCCAGCAGCAGCTTCGCAGGTGTTTTAATAACTTTTACAGAGAGCGTGTTTTTGCACTATGCTGTAGTGTGAATAAACCACCCACATGCTGACCACGGCACTACTTGTGCAAGTCGTGCAGGGAGTCCCTGCATGTGGGATGTTGCTCTTGGCCTTGCTCCAGGCCTGGGCAGATCTGCCAGGCAGGGCCTTGTCATCCTGCCTCTGCCCACTGCTCTCCTGACCTTGCTGCAGTGTCTCTGCGCCCCTGGGGACATTCCCCTTCCTCTGTGAGGTACAGTTCTCTCTGGCAGGAGACTGTCCTGATGGCACATGTGCTGCGCTGCTGCTTGGGTCTACTTGTGGGAGCCAAGAGGGTGAGTATAAGGGGCAGGGGGTCAGCTGCTTGGCCATTTGGTCACTGCTGGGGTTGTGGGGTCAGATCCTGCAGTCAGCCAGAACAAAAACACTTTGTTTAGTCCTTGGCCTCGCTCGCTGCCCTCACAGCTGAGAACTGGATGAGCTCAGGTTTCCTCTCAGACCTTCAAAGCAGGTCTGTGAGCTGGGCTTGGACTCCTTGGTGGTGGACACAAGGACCTGGGGCTCCTGCACACATACGCGGAGCTGGAATCCGGTGTCTTGGAGCAGACTTGATTAATTGAAACCACGGGCTGCTAGGGGCCAACCCATTCCCAGCACAAAGGGGCTGCAGATTAATCGTGTCTGCCGGAGCATAGAAATTGATGCGCTCTGGCAGCTTTCTGTGTCGTGTATCAGTGGTGCAGCGCGTCTCTGTGCTGAAAAAATGGTGTCAGGGTGCTTTGAAATAAAACACATTCAATGAGCTCTAGTTCAAAGTGCCCCATCACCGTTTTTTCAGTGCGGAGACATGTTGCGCCATTGATGCACGTGATGCACGGGCACTTTTATTTAGTGTGGCTCGCTAATATTAAAGCGCCTGGCTCCGCATCCCACAGCATATGCAAAAATGCCCTTGGTTTCCACCCCTTAATTCTTGGTGGGGCGCGGGGGCTGGCCTGGGGCTAGACTCGCACCAGGGAAGGTGGATCTGGGGGTGACACCAGTGCTCAGTGCAGCTCATCGGGGCCATCCCCCAGGCCACCTGAGCTGCTTCCTTCACTGCAGCCCCTTTGTGCTGGGAATGGGCTGGCCCCCTAGCAGCCAAGTCCAGTCCAGCCCAGTCAAACCTGTAGGCTGTGGCTGCATAGCCAGCACTGCCCTGGACTTCCTGGAGATCCCACCTAGTGAGGTGGTACTGTACAGGTCTCTCCAGGTGCAGAAGCTTTGGTAGGCAGTGGGGTTTCTGAATGGCTTTTCAGCTGCCAGGGTCACTTGGGCATCCCCAATTCCCAGGCACCTGACAATGCCTCCAAGTGGGGGAGAAAAGCCATGGCTCACTGGAACTACAAGGGGCTCTCATGTCTGCAAAGGTGCGATGCACAAACTGCCCTGGAGCTTGGCGGCTTGCTGCAAAGGTGGATGCAGCACGCCACTCGCCTCCATCTCCTGGGCTCTGGCTCTGAGCTGTGACTGTGGAAGTCATTGGCAGGGATCGCCAGTGAGAGCAGCTGGGATGGGAGAGCTCTGGGAGATAGGCAGCATCGATGAGCAGATCACTGCTGTACCCTGCTTCCTTCCCTTTTACTGTAGTTCTCTGGTGCTTGTGTCCCTTCATCTCATGGTGTGCTAGGAAACAGTGCAGATGCTAGCAACTGATCTATAAGGAGACGGGAAGGATTTTTTTTCACCCTCTACCCACTGGAGGGGGTCTTTGGAGGAGTTGGCTGGTGCCCTGCTCAGCTATGGAAGGGCAGAGGCTGTCATCCAGTGGAGAACTGCCCGGTGCAGCGGTGGAGCTGGAAGGGACCTCGCAGGTGCAGTACCAGCCATTCCTGAGCCATCCGAGGCAAATGTCCAGCTTCTTCTTGGATCCTTCTAATGAAGGCGACTCTACTCGCATGCCGTGAGTCCCCATCTTCCTGCAGCTTCTTGGCATCAGTTCCTAACCTCAGCAAAGAGCCCAGCTGTGGACACCGGAGCATGCCCTCCCCATGAAGCACGGCAGCCCAGGGTTAGTGCAGTATGCGGAGGGAACCCCAGCCAGGCATGTGAAAGGTGCCTTGGGTACCACACACTGGGAAGGGATCTCTGGATCAAGAGGAGGCTGCTGCTGTTTGAGCAGCAAGAGGCTTTTAGACACCCAGGTCTGGGCTCAGCCTCTTCTGCTGAAGCGAAGGGTGTAATACAGCTGTACTTGCATAGCTGCTCCTGTGCTGTGCTCATGCTCCTACTTACAACCTCCCTGGCTCCCTCCTTTGCCACATGTGGTCCTGAGGGCTCTTCTGGCCATGGAAATTGTGGCTATTTAGGGCCTGACTCATCCACTTGGGCTTTTGTGTCCATGCTCCTGGTTTAATGATTTCAAAGGCAGGCCCCTTGTTTAAGGACCAGTAACAGCTGTGACGGGGCAGCTAGGCATCGCTCCCATTCCAGCTGCAAACCTCCCAGAATGAGGTGCCAGCAGGAGTCTGCTCCCATGGCCGAACAAGATGCCTCTATGTGGGCTTCCAAGCAGGGTGCTGGCATGGAGGCAGCGATCTACTACAGGTGATGGGGCGCTCCAGCTTTTCTAAGAGGTGAGAGGCCCTTTGTAAAGCCCCTCACAGCAGCTCCTCTCCTCCCCTGCCACATGTCCTCAAGCTGCGGCACAAGTCGTGTTAAGCATTGTGCGCCTGAGCTGCTTTCCCCGAGCCTTGCCCCTCGTGCATTAGGCAGCTAAAAAGTGCAGGAGACCAGCATGTCTGCAGGCCGAGCGGGAGCGAGGTGCCCGGTACGGTGACACGAGGCACTCTGAAACGGTTGTGGTCACCAGTGGCTTGTTCCCACCTCTGTAGGGCTGCAGCAGTCTGGGTGCTGGAGTTTGCTGTCAGCCTCTCTCCTCCCAGAAGCAAAGAGGTGGGAAATAGGGCGCAGGCAGTGGGTGCCTGGCAGCCAGGTGAGTGCAGGGGGAGGAGAGCACATGGTTTGGGGGCTGGCTGTGGCTGGGCCGTTTCCTTGCCCCCACCTGCTCCAAAGGCTGCTGGTGGCTTGGACTCTACCCTGCAGGTCAGGGCTGGCTGGCAGCTGCAGCAAGATGCAGCAGCATTGCAGCGGCCCCTGCTTGGCATTCATTCGGCCTTGGTAGTGAGGCCCCTGCAGCAGGACCAGGCCCACAGTGTGCCACGGTTCTTCGTCTGAGTGTATCCTGCTTCCCCATGGGCTCGATCCAGAGGGTTGCTAGGCAGAGCAACCCCACCCAGATCTGGGTAAGGGCTGCTGGCTTTCCAGCCCCATTCAGGGATGGGCCCTACTTGCATATGAGCTTCGTGGGTGCTTACTGAGGGCCCGCCACGTGCCTCAGTGGCTCACTGAGTCTGAAGCCTGAGTCTCAACAGACCTACAGGACCACTAGGTCTCTGAGAGGGATGGAAGGGTTTCTAGGTGACGCGCTGTGTCTCAGCAGACCACAAAACGAAAACACGGGGGCAAAATCTGCCTTCAGTTGCCTTGGATCATGGTGGCTTCACCACTTAGATACCAGAGGGACCGTGGCTGGCGGCAGAGCCCTGGCTGCTGGGAGTGGAGGCTTCTAGCTGCTACTGCAGTGCAAGTGATTGACTGGCTGACAGCGAGTCTGGAGCAAGGCCAGAGTCATTCTGGATATACCCAGATATAGCCAAGGACTTGCTTCTTTGTTTCACGGCATGCGACATCTGTCCCACTAAGGAATATCCCCATGAAGGGAGAACCACCTGAGCTGCCATCTGTCCCCCGTCCTTCGGACACGTTGCCCTGCTTGTGGCCGTTCCTAGGCACTGGCTTCTAAGATAGAAGCAGAAGAGCTCTCGCCTTCCCCTGGTCGAGGAGGATGCTGTGCTGTGGGGATGCTAATGTGGTGTTTAGTCTTGGAGATTGTGTTGGGGGGGAAGGGCAGCAAATCCTCCAGGCATTGCACAAGTCATTGTGTGGGGATAACAACTCTATTGCCAATTAAATTACCTGATTGAGTCTGGCTTTGATGTGCAGTTTATAGAAAGCACTTGCTAATCCACCAAGTCGAATCTCGTTTCACCAGCACTTAGCTGTGCCTTTAACAATTGCAAAGGTTTCATTTCACTCGATTTCATGTCCTGCCCGTCACTGGACCTTCGGGGCTTTCGGGAGATAGATGAGACTTTGATTTTAATGAAGGCTTTTCATCCATTCCCACCTGGGAATCTGTTTGGCAGTGCTAAGAGTGCAGCCGCACGAGCGCTTGAGGGACCTCGGTGGGCAGTGAGGCAGCACCAGGCTTTGGGCTCATCACGTGAAAGGACAGGTCCATGTTCCAGGGGGCCGCGTCTCCAGCAAACAAGCCAGCCAGTCCTGAACACGGCTCCAAAACGGTAGGGGCAGCTTTTTCGCTCTGGAGTGAGCAGTGGGTTGATGGGGTGGAGCCACTGGTACCTTTCCCCCTTCTGCTGCTCCCGACGAGTCACTTAATGGCTGTCTGTACATCAGGGAAATACAAGATGCTGGGGCTGGTGTGTCCCCTGGTGCCATGTGGTGGCCTCTTCCTGAGCGGGAGCTCACCTGGATGTGTGGGGTTTGCCTAGCAATACTGCGGCACTACGGACAGGTGGGGCAGTGAAGAGCTGGGGTTCAGGGCTCCCAGGTCGGTTGTGGGACAGCTGGCCCAGGCGAGCTGACCTGTTCAGGCTCATCCAGGCACACGAGAGGGCCGGGTGAAGCAGATGAACCGTGCACGTCATGAATGGTGTGGGGTGGCTGAGGAAAGGCTGGCAGGAGCATGGAGGGGTCAGCTGTGTGCTGCAGCCCTGATGGACGTGGTTCCCTCTGTAGCGCTGGACAAGTTTGCAAACAGCGCCTGCGCAGGTCAGGGTGATGGGGTCCCCGAGGGAAGGAAAGTGCCCTTCCTGGTCCAGTATTTCTACCTGTTCCCTGTACTGAAGAACTGCGGTCCCAGCACAAGGCTTCTCGCGGCACTGGTCACTGCTCCCATGCCCTCGCCCCCTTAGAAAATCCTGGATCCACCTCTGGTGGGAGGTTGGGGTGTTCAGCACTGCCCAGGAAGGTTACTCCCGAGGCTGGGCTCTATAAGGTACACTGCAAACCTCCCAGCGTGCTGGAAAGCCCTCAGGGAAGGGATTTCTCTATGTGGCTATAGAGCAGGAGGTGCATCTCCCAACTCCCTGCTATTAGGAAGGCCAGGCCTCATGCTAGTATCTGAGAGCCGTAGTGGGGCTTTAGCTTTCACCAAGTGGCCTGACCCATGCCATGAGTCTCCAGGCTCAGCTGCAGCAGCATCTGAATACATGAGCTCACAATTAATCGAGTCATTTGCCCAGAAGGACTTGGGAAGGCCCGATGCGTGTTTTTCCCCAACAGGAGGTTGGGCTTGATGGCTATTAGGCACCTCACGGGGTGGTTCTGTGGCCACAAAGGGGTCCTGCCTGTGGGAGGCAGGCCCTGGTGCTGCCCGAAGGAAGGCTGCTTGGAGGGGAGATGCATGCTTCAGTTGGCAGTGTGCAGCCAGCAGCCATGGATGCTGGAGATGAGAGATGCCTAGGGGAGGTTTTCTGCCTCCTGTCTGGCTTCTATCTGGTACTGGCCCACGTCAGTGGAAATGTCGCTTTTAGGCACAGAAGGCAGCGCTGCTTTTGTAACATTCATCGCCAAGCAAGCTCAGAACCGTCCGGGGAGGCTGGGGGATGCCCAGGGAGCTGCCCGGAGCCCTTGCTCTGCAGAGTGACCCCGCACCTCCTGTGGCTCCCCTGGCAGCATGCAGCCACTCCAGCCCTTGCTGAGCCCTGATGTGGAGCAGCCACCTCCCAGTGGGCAGCAGCACGGTGTGGCTCTGTGGCTGCAGCTCCCTCAGACCTGGAGCTCCCTGCTAAAGAATCGGGGCTCAGTCTGCTTGGGGCCATGCTGCCTTGGACAGACGGGGCCGGTAGCTGTGGACACTGCTCCACTTGGGGCACAAGCTCTGCTGATCAGGGCTGGCTTGGAGCCAGCACCCATGATTCGCCAGGGCCCTCTAGTCCCCCTTCTCTGCACCATGTTCGTTTTAAATGGCAGATTCGAGAGGCAACCGGTGCTGATGGTGCTGTGACCCACGTGGGCAGCTGTGGGTGGAGCTGGGGCGCTTCTGGGCACAGCAAGCTGGCTCCACTTCGACTCCAGGCAGCCCTGAGACCCCATCTCCTGGGAGTGGCACCAAAGCCTCTACAAAGGCAATGCTACCAGCAGTGACAAGGGGACAAGAGCCAGGAGGTAGGTTTTAAATACATTTATTCGTTAATTTACATAAAGGTATATATTTGGCTTTATTTCTCTCTTCTTATACTCTGAGATTTGCAATCAGCTGCTCTTAAAAAATAAAATAGTAATTTGCTTCTGAAAGAAATCAGAAAACTATTTCATACTTCTCCCTTGTATAACAAGAAATCATAGGCAGACCCTGGACCTCGCGCGGTAACAGTGATTGTAAGTGCTGGTTTACAAACCAAGAAAGTCAACGGAGGAGAACCAGATAACCAGGGGCTTCAGCGTGCCAGATGGTGGCCACTTTGATTAGCCAGCAGCTTGCACTGCTCTGAGGTTCCCCTCATGGCTGGTACGTGACTGAGACAAGCAGCTCCTGGATCCAGCCCTTCAGCCTTCACGCAGGCAAGCAGGCAGTGGGTTTGAACAGGCCAGGCCCTGGGAGTACAGGCTCAGGAGGCATGACAGTGGTGGGGAACAGCTCTGCACTTTGGTTGCAGTGTTTGCAGGTGTCTGGCTGCTTTGAACCAGCTCTTTCCCCTCTCCCTGTGCAGAAGCAGCCCTGCTGCCTCAGCAGTGGCTGCCCGGGTGCCAAGGCAGCTGTTGGCAGCAGAGGAGGAATGCTTTTGGGTAAAGCTTTCAGGAGTGAAGCAGAATGAAGCACTCGCCCTGCTGCAAACAGCTGGCCTGGCTGGGGGCATCATAACCCTCCCCAGGCTCCTCGTGAGCCCCACCCCATGCTGCTGATGAATGCAGCAGGCCAGCACCCCTTCTTCAGCCCCTATGCTGGAAATGCCACAGCAGCCAGAGATGCTAAGGAGAGCATGTGCCCTGCTGGAAAGCATTACTGCTGACAGGCTGAAGACCGGGAGCTGAAGGTCACTGAGGAAGATGCAGTCACAGCCCTGAGTGGTGGTGGGTCTGGCCTGAGCCCCCCCCGGGAAGGGAGGGAGGCAGCAGGGTGTACTCTGCGGCAGCTTGACCCAAGCTGATGTGGAAGGAGTTAGGTCCTGGCTAAGGTGTTCCCAACCTGGTCTCTAGTTTGAATGGCTAAACATCCTTCAGGGCCAACCCAGGACCCTCACCAGAAATGCAGCATCACTAACGTGCTGGAGACAGCTTCACAGCTGCCCCCTGCCCCACCCAGTGTGGGTGGGACCCATTTGATTTGGTTAAAAAAAAAAAACATTCCAGTAAATGAGATGGGCCTAATACAGAAACTGCCCCCAGCTCATTCCCCGAACTGTGACGGATGCTTAAAGCATGTAAATCGGAGCAAAGTGTTTCCAAACCGAGGTGATGAGTGTAAGCAGCTCAGAGCTGCACAGCTGACAAGTTCTGCTTCCATCCTGAGCTGGGCTCATAAAACCCTGCCTCCATGGATAAGTGGTGCAGATCCCAGCGGGGGGGTTAGAGACTGGTGCATTCAGCAAGATCTCTGCAGACAAATGAAAGCATGGCTCTCCCTCATCCCTGCAGCAGCTCCTTACACCAGCAGAAGCCAGCTTACGAACACATGCCTGCAAACTAGAGACATGCACAAGGCAGTGCTAATGGCTTCTGCAGTTTGGGCTTATTTAAGTGACAGGATCCTGTTGGACCATCTGGATCCTGGTACAATGACAGCTGCTGGGTTGGTTGGTGGTTCTGCTCTGACTTTCTGGAAGTTCCTCATGGGCAGGAAACCCCCAAGAACTCGAGAGCTTTGCCCAAACTGCCACTAGCAGAGATCCTCCCCTAGCAAGCTGCACCCAGGGCCAGGGGGAGGGAAGGATAGTTGATTACCGTCATGTAGAGCTTTACAACAGGGAGGTGGGACACCGGCACATGACGGCACCAGGAAGGAGCATGCATGGTTCTCCACCCCTCACCTCCCTTCTAGCAACCTGCTCCTCTTCTGAGTGGGACTCGACTTGGTTAATCTCAGTTGTGGTCTGAACCCGAGACTCTTCACCTGAATCATCTGGTTTCCCTCTCAGACAACAGATCTGCATTACAAGCTTGAAAGGGAACAGCTGAAAGAGCCCATCTGGGACTAGAAACAGGTGGCTGCCAGGCCAAAGCCCCTTCACCTGCAGGCAGAGAAGGGCTGTTACAGACTGTCACCTTTGTCCAACCCATCTTTGGTTCTCCCAGCCGGCTGCTTTATGGTAGGTCCTGAATCCTGGTCCAAGCACTTACGGGGCACTGGGGTTGGGCTGTGGACCCTGACACTGAATTAAGTCTCCATTCACTTACACCAAGGAAAAAGTATGCGAAAAGTCTCGCTGCCTGGCTTCGTGTTTCTAGGAAGTGCGGTCACCACGTTCCAAAGTAGCTTTGCCTTTCTGCCGAGGAGAGAGGTTTGGCATAAGAAAGAAAACACTGCCAAATGAAGGTGTATCATATAGGCTCTTCATCCCCACCGAGTCCATGGGAACGAAGTCTCGGCACATGCCAAAGCCCTGCCTTTGACAGGCATTAGCTGGAACAGTCGGTTTCCGAGTTACAGCCTTACCCTCCGTGCCGTAAAGCACTTCAGCCAATAACGGAGGAAACGCTGCTAATCTTCCTTTTGGCCTCCGAGATTAAGTGACTAATTGTTTTCTTTTACGGTGCAACAGGGAACGGCTTAATGAGAGTGAGAAATTCCCATCCTTGCAAAGCCAGGCATGTGGCTGCCAGACCGCAGCGCTGACACTTCCCTCCCCTGACCAGAGTAAATAACGGCACACGGTAGCATAAAGCATTGTTTCGACTTTGCTTTGCTTATTATTTTAGCTGAACTTGAGTGGCATTTGCAGTTCCCTAGGGGCCAGCAAGTAGTAGTGGTTGGATTCCTGTCTCCAATTGTTTGCCTGACCTACAACATATTTTTAAAGCCAACTGAAGTAATCTGGGAAGGGGCTGCCTTTCAGGAAGAGTCCTGTAGAACTGCAGAGGGAGGAAACCGTGAGCCCTCTATCGATGCTGATCTTGAAAAATATGGAAGTGCTGCTGGGAACTGCTGCTGACTCCCTGCTGGGATTACAGGAGGGGTATTCTGCAAGGAAGCCAAAGTTGCTACAGAGCTTGGAAGTGGAAAGTGTGGGTGGACCCCAACTGCTTTTTATGTAGATACCAGTGCTCTTTGGAGATACTGGCCAATTAAAAGTGACTCCTCATTGTATTGGAGAGGACAAACCTAAGCCATGTTCTCCAGACAGCTAGCTTGTAACATTATTAAAGCCATATCCAACTAACAGGGTTGGCAATTCCGTTGCTAATCAGGTATGGTTTCCAAAAGAATTAAGTGCTGGGCATATGCAAGGAAACTCAAGGAAAGTGCATCTACTTAGGAGACCTGAACCAGGTGGTTGGACAACTGTTGCCACTGACAACCTCACGTCCTTTATTGGGACCATTTGTACTGATCTCCTCCTGCCACAGCTGCAACACGCCCGCCCGCACACTGTAAACATGCCAGTCTGTCACTTGAGAACCAAAGATGGGTCGGAGAGGTCCAAATACAAATGAGCCCGTGACTAGCTAAAGCTCTGTTTTTAGCCCATCACACCAGTCACTTAAACCCATGCCAGCCACACCACTGTACAGATCAAAGTGACCTTAAGTACTGCAACAGGGGGAGTAAACAAGGACAGTGTTTATGCACACTACCATCCTTGTAGAAATGCAGTTGCTGGATAGGGATAAATACTGGGAGCAAATCATTTGCATCTGCAATAAGCTAACGATGTATGATATTCATATAAACGACCCAACACCTTCACTGGCGCAGCAGCACTGCCATACCGGGCTCTGGGTACAGTAGTTCCTTCACATGTGGATTTTGGTATTTTAGAGGCCTGTAAACCTTCTGTGCAGGGTAAAACAAAACGGGTTAAACAAAATAAAAAGCCATTACATACAAGTGGCCAGGACTTTCCTGGCCTTGCCATAACAGTCCCACCTGGTGCAGTGAGAGACTTCTCCTTCCAGCAGCGATACAGCCCTGTGCCAGCCCCAGGGCTGCTCCCATAAGCAAAGTGCTGTTGCGTGAATGTCTCTGCCGCCTTTTGGGAGTGCTACCATGGAGCCCTCTTTGGAACCAAGGCTGCAGTGCCAAGATGCGCAGAGAAGTGGAGCTTTCCATGTCCTGCCATTGCACTGGCCGCTTCAGATGCCCAAAGTTTAAATAAAACTATTTATCTAGCTATAGAGATAGAGATCTGATATGTGACGTCTTCAGCAGAGAGAAAGCATCTGAGGATGTTTAAATAATACTAAAAATCTGGGTTGAGCCTTTAGTGTCGAGCGAGAGGCCGTGATGTACAGAAGAGGTCCCCACCATTGCACCGTCTCTGGCCAAAGGGGTGGTCGCGCTGACATAGCAGGCAGCATTGAGCAGCAGCTGCCCTGTAGATAATGTGGACTTCTTCACTGGCTAACTCTAAAATCGTATACACAATCTACAGTCGCTCGCTGGGGTGTAGTGCAGGAGTGGGTCCCGCAGGCATCCCCTTCCAAAGTATGGCAGTCTGGGGAAACCCATCAGTGTTCTTGTGTGCACAAGCACTGGGATCCAGGCCACTCCTGGTCACCTCTTCTAGCTTGACCCTGGAGGTAAGAACAAAGGGATTGGTTTGGTGTTGGAGTGGACTTTGGATGCGTCACGGAGGTCCTGCTTGTGTCTGGTACTGGTGCATTGTTCCCAGCTGGGGCCGTCAGCATGGAAGCCGGAGTCCTTTGTATCAGCTACAAGTAAGTAAAGGGAAATGTCTGTCAGCATGAATAAGTCCGGGGTTGGAATTTTGTATTCCTGAGCTTGCAAAACAAGCCATGGAGGCTTCACTTACAAGACTGAGATGAACAGACTTGGAGAGGTCTCATCCAAGGATGAGCTGGGGGATTGTACCACTAACTACAGCAACACAGTAAAAGGGCTGCCACCATCTCCCCCTGCACAGATGCAGCTCTGGTATAAATGTGCTTATGCTAATAAGGTTTTTGGCTTGGGGAAAGAAAAACTCTACTGCTCTAAGACATCACCCCATGGTCTGGCTGGGCCCAGATGCCTGGGTCAGATTGGTGTAAGGGGGTTGGTGTAAAAACTCATCACAGGGATGACACCCTGCTGTGCAAGCTGCACCATTGTTCAAGTACATGCATATGAAGGGTAGGAAGATCAACCAGCAGGGAGGGAGAGGTGGACAGGGCAGGGCTCTTTCTCTGCCATAGCTAGCGCCCCCCAGCTCAATTTATACCCATGGAAACTGGCCCACTGTCTGTACGGTGGGACAACCAAGAAAATGCCCTTCCAGTGACTGTCTGTTAAATTAGAGCTCAGCCCCCATGTTTGTCCCAAGAGGCCAAGGGATGGGAGCGCTTACTGGTGTGTTAAATTGCTCATAGGCTAAGAGATAAGTCTTATTAGGAGCCTTCTGCTACCATCAGCTGGGAAAGGGAAGGGTACGTTTCTAATGCAGAGCAGCCAGTTCAGGCCTGGAAGACATGGCAGGTCTGACATGGAGCCCATGTGCAGGTTTGACAGATGCCCTTCACACCACCGCGCCCACAGTTTAGGCATTGGGCTCTGGGGCCTCGTGAGTTTGTGCAGCTCCAGCCTTGACAGTTTTGCACTGGAGCTTGGCAAGTTGGATGACAACAGCAGCGTAACGTGGACTAGGGCCCAGCTGCCTCTCGACCTTCAGCACACGTGTCTGAGGGAACAGCCCTGGCAGAGCTCTCGGGTGGGGGGAGGCCATTCTGACATGTTCATTTTTAAGAGGACAAATATATTGAAGGCTGAGGAGTGAAAAAAGCTGCCTGCCACCAAGAGCCTTTCACCTGCATTGTGAGGTTGAATTACCCTCCGCCCTGCAGGACTTGCTGGGTTGGGTTCTGTGGCCTGCTTTCTGCTGCTTGTGGCCTTAATAGAAATCTGCCTATGGGGTCCAGGAAGACTTCCCCCAGAGGACATATCCCTTTCTTCAAGGTGCTTAAATCTAGAATGAATCAATAAAAAAAGCAACCCTGATGTGCTGGACTTCTTCAATGAGAACCATGCTTTCATTCTGCCGCAGATGCAGCCTCCGATCGTATCCGCTAACATTTTCTCCCAATCCGAGGCCTTGAGGATTCTTTAACCCCATATAAAAGCTGCTACGAAATGGCATTAAGGTGAAGTTAGACTTCCAGCCCAGGGAGTGAACAGTACGTACTGGGCTGTTGGAGGCCTATCCTCTACCCTGATCTATTCCCCTCTGTGGAAACAGAACATCTGCTCTGCTCAAGATTATATTACACCAGTCCCCCAAAAAGGCCACTGCTAACTGTGTTACTGAATGTGTTCTCTCAGCACGTTTAATTTACAGGAGGGGGAAAAAAAATCTCCTGTAAAAAAAAATATAATTAAAAATTGCTTAATGAATTTTGGCCACAGTCAGAACTGGGAAGTTTTTATCATTTGCTGCAGCTCCGAGCTGCAATTGCATAACTGTCAGGTAGCGATAAGAACAGTGTCGGTGAAGGAGGTGGGGGAGTCTGTGTCTGGCCTGATGCCAAGGCCTAGGAGCCATCACCCAGTATTGAGACCTGCAGCATAGGGACAAATCCCAGCAGGAGCAAAGAGCAAAGTCTTGCGCTATCACAAAGCATCTTTCCATGAATTGGTTTGGGTCTGCAATGCAATTAGGGATGCTCATGTGGCAGTAAGCAGACATCAGATTAAGAGCAGTGCAGCGGCCGATTTAATGTACGCAGGAAAATGGCAGGAGGGGGTCAGGAGCCTTCAGTCTAGTGTAAGATGGCATGTTAGGGTGATAATGGTCTCCTTATTCCTGCTCTGCTTCATATTTGGAAGGCGCATCAGGACAGCAAGGACTTGACATGCCTTTCAGGGCATGTACCACTACGATCCAGCATTAGGATTATGCCAGGCTACCCTCATTCCATGAGACCAGAAAATGAGCGAACCAGTATGCTTTCATAGTGCACTAGTAGCTTAAAATCAGGGAAGCTGGCTAGGTGCATGGGGACAGACAGCTAGTACAACGCAGCCTTACTGGAAGGGGTGTTAAATTGCCCCATGTTGTATGTGTGTTTAAATTACAAGAATGACTTTACCACTCAGCCTGTAGGAAACCCTGGAGGGGTCTGGCAAGGGCATAAGACTCTTATAGGTACTAAGTAACTTGATGAACTGGGTTTTCTGGGTAAGCAAAGGCTGAAGACAGATCCAGAGGCTCTGCTGTGGGGGGAAAGTATCTCAGCACTGGGTGTGGGGTGGAGGAAGGGAGTGAGCTGGGGCTGCAGCTGGGGCTCTGCTTTGATCTGACTAGGAACCGAGCCCCTGACCCCTTGCCTACCCTGGCACCCAAGGAGCTGCTGCTCTAACAGGGTACAATCCCTCTGCCAACCTGCCGTGGGAGAAGCAGGGGTGCTGCCTCCCCAAAGCCAGGCTCACAGAAGCCCCACAGTTCCCAGGAGAAACGTTTTCTATGGTGCTGTCACTCACCATCTCAGACTTTCACAGAGGCTGGTGGCATCATGAGTTGATTCACCCTGGGCGGAGGAGAAAGCAAAGCATGTCAAACAAACCACCAGCGCTGAAGTGACAGAGCATCAATTAGCCGTATCTACTGGGCTGCCCCGAATTGCTGTTGATCGCATCTCTAAGTGCAATCGTGTCCTAGAAAGACAGGAGTGACCGTGCGTTAGCATTAGCGTGTTAGCGCCCGCATCCCAGTCCGAGCGAGGGGCTCACAGCCCTCACGCTGGTGTCTGGTGGCAAACCTGACAGTCACTACCGCTCGCTCAGGAAAGCTGCTGATGCCAATTGACAAGGATCCAGCGATCCTCCAAAGGCATTCAGATGGGCAACAACTGGCTGTTTGCTCCATGGCTCCTGAGCAGCCTCCTGACCGATGCTGTGCCCGTAAACTCTGGCCACTGGTAACAATTCGAGTTAAATAAAAAAGTCCAGTGTTTTTCAGTTGCTGGGCTCAAGAACCTGTTGCTCTTCACAACAGATCTCAATGCTGGGTCTAATCCACCAGGCCATTTATCTGCCCTGGGCTCAACAGTGTTGTCATACACCACGTCCAAGGCACTGCTGACATGCAGGATAGGGAAGGACCCGCTCCCTTTTCCACAGTCCCCCATCCTCCTCCTTGGGGTGCATCACTGAAAGGGCAGCACGGTCTAGGCGTGGGACCGCAGCTCAGGCACCCTGACCGCCGGGCTGCATTCTTGGCTGTGCTGCTTGAGAGAATTGCTTCACCCTCCCTGTTCCTTCTCCCATCCTTTGCCCTTCTTGTCTGTTTAACCTTTTCCAGCATGGACTTCCTTTACCAGACACTGCATGCTGCCACAGTTAAAACACCATTGCCTCAGAGCTAGGAACTCCCCCTTAAGACTCAGGACCCACCCTGATTTTCCACTTTGAATGCCCACAGACCCAATGGGAGCCCAGATCTTCAACACCGCTCGCAAAAATGTATGGGAGTGAAGTCCCCAAATACTTGAAGAGAGTTGGTGTCACAAGCTGGACCCAAGGTCACACAAGAAGCCTGTGATGAGACAGGGAGTTGATGCCACATTGCCAAGTCCCAAACTAGCATCCGAACCGTTTGTCTTAGCAAGCCCTCCGCGCTCCAGAGAGTTCGGCGTGGTTTCCTGCCGCACATCCTACACGGCCTTTGCTTTCAGCAGAGTTCACAGGAGGCAGCAGAGGCTCAACCGTGGAGCGTTTCTTGTCATTTAAGAAGCAAAGCTGCCAATGCCAAGCAGGCTAATGGTGGTGGGGGTGCCTCATCGGGACTTGAACTAACCTAACCCCCAGAGTAACCTCGATCCTCTGATCTGTCCCACTTCCCTTTCTAACAATGCTTGTCACTTCCCATCGGAGAGCAGCTGCTGACTACACTCTGGCTCCCAAACTGTTCTGTTCACTCCAGTGTTTTCCCACAGATAAGAAAGTTTCCATCCCTGGAAGGGACGGAGATGGGAACTGTTCTGTCGTTTCCTGACCGGGAAGAAACCGTTCCAAACTGCCTTTTATAGACATAGGTTTGTGCTGTCCTTGTTTTACTGCCATCTCCAGCAGCTAAAAACGAGTCTCTTCTGTTTTTTGGGGTTTTTTTCCGCCCACCAAGAAGAAAACCAAATATTTCTTCTGCACATGATCAAACCAATTCCATGCTGCGTGACAGCATCTATTATTATCTAGTATTTATACATTTACCTATTTAATTGAAGGTTACATATGCCAAAACTGTCAAATAGGGTATTTATCGTCTCTGAAACAGGTCTAATTTTGCAGCACCTCAGCACCGCCTCAGATAGAAACTGTCATGTGGAAGGAAAAAAACAAAACTCTCTCAACTGTATATTGAGTTGGCTGGAAAAGAGAAAGGACCTTTTGCAGGTTGTCTTCTCACCCACATTTAAGCTTAGTTACCTTGTGACCCACAAAATCTTTGGCTGGGTTCTTGTGGCCTTGCACACGAGTCATTTCAAAAGCAAAATCTCTTTCAAGCTTCACATTATTCAAGGGCTGCAGATCCTTGTAACCAAAGTCAAAGCACTAGAGCTTTGTACCTGCACAATTGCTGCTGGTTGGTGCTAAGTTTTTAGCATGCTCCTACTCTCCAAAACACCCAGTTCTCCCCAATCCAATGGAGGAATCGGGCAAGTGCTCTGCAGACTCCCTCTCTAATGTGCATCCTTTCTCCCTCCCCACAACAGGGCCCCTGTCTAAAACCTGCCATCTTGTCTTCCAGCAGACTCCGTCCCTCCCCAAAAACACTGCCTGATCCCCACCTTCATTGCTTGCTTCAGAGACACCAACACAGCTGGCAACAGTAAGTGCCTCTGGCAGGAGAAGATTGCTGATAGCAGGGGGCCTGTGGCAGACAAAGCTGTAACAAGATGCAATCACTGAAGGCTGAACCCAGACAAATTCTAATGAAAAATGAGACCCAATTGTTCTTTACAGTGAGAACGACAAGCCACCTTCCCCAGCTGTAGGGGATACTCCATCAACTGTCTTGTAAATTATGGACTGACTCAAGAAATACGGGCGAAATCCTGCGGCCTGCGTTAGAGAGAAGATCAACCCTAACGTAACAAGCCTTTGGGGGAGGGGGGACGCCCTTTGAAATGCAAACTCCCTGAATACTAGAGATCATTCATTTGCTCAGTTCTTTTTTAAAACCCCTTTTTCCTGCAGGGTTTAGCTAGCAACAACTCTCGCTGCCCTGTGTCTGTGGCTTTAATTGCCCTGGGTTGGCGATTCGAGTACCCTGGGGTGTGCCGTTCAGCAAATCTGGCCGCTGGAAGTCCAGGCAGTCACATTCACTTCTAACAGAGTCCTTCACCTGATCCCGTGCAGCAGAGACGGAAGTGAAGTCAACATTGGTCACAACGGCAGTCGCCAGACACGGCAGCACGCAGGGAGCAAGCTGAAGGGAAGGAAGCTGTCTGGATCAGTAGATAAGCTCAGGGAGCTAATCGGACAAAAGCATGGCTCACGCTGTTCTCTACTTCTGGTCTCTATCCACTACCTGTACCTGCCCAAATAGGCCCAGGGCAGGAGGTCCAGGGCAGCATCTTGGGGTTTTTTGGTCTCAGGACTGGCACACAGCAGATTTTTCTGATAAGTGAGGACACTTGTCTTCCTGGGCTGTAAGTAAATGCTGTCACCTTGGCCACCCAGACACTCAGGAGTCCAGCTTACCTGGAGCTGCTGAAGAAGGTGGGGGCACCCTGGGGGAGAAGGACAGGTGTCATTGTGGGGGTGGGATTGTCCCCTGTAGCGTAGGGATGGGGGAGTGTAATCCTGAGGACCTTACTCTGTGCAGCCAGTTGCCTTTCTCAGCCTTGTAGTAGCTGCAGCAAGAATTTGAAATGGGCCATTGCCCGTGGAAGCAGTGCAGAGACAGCCGGAGGGTACGGTTCTGGGAAACAGCAAGAGGCAAGGCGGTACTGGCATGTCTACATGCAGCCCAGCCCAAGGGGAGCCAGCAGTAAGGTACTGCTCTTCCCACAGCTCTTTTCTGTGGGGAACACCAGCAGCTTTCTAGACGCTCAGTAGAGTTAGCCTGGCTAGTTGGTCTGAAAGACAGGCTCAGCTTGTGACACCAACAGTGGCAGCTGGCTAAGCAACACATGGTCACTTTGTTAGGCTAGGGCTGACCGTGTCCTCATTCAAAACTGCTCAGCTCCCCAGCAGTAGAAATCCACTCATCTCCCTGACCTCAGTCAGTCTGGAATGGCCCCATGACTTCCTTAGCTCTGTCCTGTTTGCAAGTGGCCACCACCAGATATTGGGGAGATACGAGTGGTTGCTCCACGTGTGCGTGCATACAGCCATACCTAGCCCTGCGCTTGACTAAAAGCTCACTGGATGGGGATTCACCAACTTTTTGCTTTATTTCCCACAACACTGCTCCCACCTCCTCCTCCTCTTCCCAGAGGCCTTTGCATGGGTGGGTCAGTCTCAGTTAATTCCAACAAATTTCACTTAACGCTGCATGTTGCCAACACAAAGCCACATACCGGTGCCAGGCTCGGTTGGGTATTGAAACAAGTCCCCAGCTTTTGATCAACCTGACTTTTAAATTCAAGGGGCAGCAGAAACCATGTTCCACCATCTAACTCAGGGGTGGACAATTATTTCGGGTGGAGGGCCACTTACTGAGTTTTGGCAAGCCATCGAGGGCTGCATGACAGGCAGCCAAGGGCAGATAAATATTAATTTTCTAAATTTTTTAGGGGCCCTGCAGGCCCGATAGACTGGCCTGGCGGGCCACATCTAGCCCGTGGGCCACATTTTGCCCACCCCGATCTAACTGCTGCACAGGTGACAAGCACAGTGCATCAGTCAGTGGCCAGGCATTTCCAGCCAGCTGTAAAACAGCAGCCCCCAAGGCACTAGCTCAGACACACTTGCTGCAAAGCCCCAACTGCACAGCGTTTTCAGTACAGCAATTTAGGGTCCTTCAAAGCTCTCCTCCAGCCTCTTCCAGCTGGGACGTGGCAGAGCTTGGTGCAAGTCCCTGTTGCACCACAGCTGAGCGCAGTACCTGTGTCCTACCTGTTGAACTGGGTTGCAAGGGTGCTTCTCTACTGCACAGGGTGTTCAAAGCCCGATACGCTGAAGGCTGTGATGTGCTTTAATGCTTTGGCAATGACAGCCATTAACAGTACAAGCTGTTAATTGGAGCCTGTGCAATCGGAGCTTGCTGACCAAGATTTAGGAAAAACTAAAGCCAGCCTGTTCCTATGGCATCTTTGTCAGATCTCTGCCTGACCCCCAAGGGCTTTGGAGAGCTTGGCACAGAATTTGTGGATATTTATTCTGTACGGACCAGGTTAACACCACACGTGACTATGCACCACACTACCTCAATATCCTGAGGCTCAATACAGCATGCAGGGAAAACCCCATCAGTGCAGGAGAGGTGAATGGTGATTACACAGCAACGCGTGGCAAGCAGCAGTGATTGGTTGGGGGGAGGAGAGGCAAGGAGGCTTGGTGAGCTGCTAAAAATATTCTATCC